ATAGGTCACATTATAGTAAGTACTGCGCAAGCACATACTACCACAAATGGTTCCTGCAGTAAGGAGTACAGAAAGACCAAGGTGGGGGCTGGCTACACCTGGGCTGGCTGCGTTTTTTAAAGAGCATTTTTGGACACAAACGGAGTTTTTAAGAGCATGCTTTCTCTCAAGATTGGAGACCAGGATACATCATGGCAAACTTGGTTTGACTGAGAAGAGCAAGAGCTCCCAACTGCAGAGACATTTCAGTGTTCATTTCTGGCTGTGAAGCTTAAGAGTTTGGCTTGTCCAAAAAAATCCTTTTTTTCCAGATGGGAAAGACAGACTGATTTCTAGCCAAATTTTAGTAATTTTCTCTACTTTACAGGTTTGGCAGATTGAGCAGCTTGAATATACTCCCTTCAGCTAAGCAAACTGATATATTCTCAGTGAAAATGAAGACCAGCTGTGCCGGTTTTGGCTGGGGTAGAGTTCATTTTCTTCATAGTAGCTAGTATGGGGATATGTTTTGGATTTGTGCTGGAAACACTGTTCATAACACAGGGATGTTTTCATTACTGCTGAGCAGTGCTGACACAGAGTCAAGGCCTTTTCTGCTTCTCACCCCACCCCACCAGCGAGGAGGCTGGGGGGGCACAAGAAGTTGGGAGGGGACACAGCTGGGACAGCTGACCCCAACTGACCAAAGGGACATTCCACACCATATGACGTCATGCTCAGCATGTAAAGCTGGGGGAAGAAGAAGGAAGGGGGGGACATTCGGAGTGTTCTTATCTCAACCCACGAGTTTTCTCACTTTTACCCTTCCAATTGTCTCCCCATCCCACCGAGGGGGAGCGAGCGAGCAGCTGTGTGGTGCTTAGTTGCTGGACGGGGGTAACAAGACACGACGTCATGCTCAGCATGTAAAGCTGGGGGAAGAAGAAGGAAGGGGGGGACATTCGGAGTGATGGCATTTGTCTTCCCAAGTAACCATTACGCGTGATGGAGCCCTGCTTTCCTGGAGATGGCTGAACACCTGCCTGCCGATGGGAAGGTGTGAAAGAATTCCTTGCTTTGCTTTGCTTGCGTTCGCGGCTTTTGCTTTACCTATTAAACTGTTCTTATCTCAACCCACGAGTTTTCTCACTTTTACCCTTCCAATTGTCTCCCCCATCCCACCGAGGGGGAGCGAGCGAGCAGCTGTGTGGTGCTTAGTTGCTGGCTGGGGTTAAACCACGACACCAGCAAAACATCCATAAGCCATTTTTCAGCTCCTTCAGATTTAATTTGTCTAACATAGCAATTCCTAGAGAATAATTACATTGTTTTTCTGAAGCCTAGTTTTGACAACAACCAAATTCAGCTTCTCTCTCTTCCTGACAGTGTTCTTCTTATTCTGAGATCTTAATTATGTCTTCCTACATCAGCATTCCTCTACTTACCCGTGCGTTCTGCCTTTCAGTTATATACACGTCCAGCTGAGATGAATGAAATCAAGAAGGAACTGGTGCATGCATGGATGGCAGGTTGTCTGCAACTTAATCATTTTTATATTAATGTAATCACACCTGCTACATGAAGCTTTTAATGAACACGAGCACATAACAGTTGCAGGATGTGGCCCACATACTTGTCTCAGTGTCTGCAGCTTGCTAGGAATTGCATTTCCACATAGTGGAGGTGCTTGCAGCTGTTTTAATGGATGCCCGCAACGGCTGCATACAGCAGTACTCACTCTGGGATGGATTCTCTGCATTTGTTCCTTTTATGAAAGCTGCCTGTGATTCAGTTGTGATGATTTGATTCATACATCTTAAGTCACTCCCACCCAAGCCACATTTTGTGACAATGGTTGTTTCACAACTGCATCTCCATGACAAGAAACCACAATTTTTAGGATAGGGAAAGAAACACGTGAGCCAGACCCTGCATTTCTTGCATGCTAGTGAGAATTCTGAGCAAAGCACCTAGGTGGCCTTCATCTCTTGCAGCATTATCCACTAAAGCTTTATGTAGCAGCAAGCATTACATTTATATAAAAATTAAGCTACAAGGATCATTTTCAGTTATCTAGAAAATTCAGGATAATAACCGAAATAAACCAGTCAAGGAAATCTCTCTTTAAACTAGACTGTGTATAAATTTAAACTAGCAACTCATTTTGGTCATTTTCTACTCATACTTCATCCTTTAATCACTTTACCAGGCAGAGAGCAAGCTTCATTTTTGTAGACAACATCCATTTTTATGAGAGTTCATTATTTCATTCACACCTTCGCTTTTACAGTTTCTTGGCTTGGACTTCTTATATCCACGTCTCCTAGCAATTCCCTTTGCTTACAATTTTCTGTTGCTTTTCTACATAAAAAATTGTACAAAGTCTGCCTTATCTGAGCAGTGCAAGAGAAGCCCGTTATTACTCAAACAAGTTTTCTGAACTCCTCAGAGTTTCAGCTTCAGACCTGGGGGAGACTACAAGGCTGTTCACTGACATTATTTACAAACTGATTCACTTGGGCTCTTCTGGGCCACTGAATAAACCTGCTTTTCCACATCTGACTGTTCTTAGCATGGAAGAGCATGATCAGCCAACATTTTCACCTTTAATTCTGGGGTGATTGCTTCTATCGTACTCTCAAAACTAGACCCATTTCTATCACCAGTATGTGGAACTTCTATTTGATTTTACCCGAAGTTCCACCTACAGAAAAATGTTTACAATACTATAAGACTTTACATGAGTATTTTCATGGCCATGTATTTGAGTTGTGCTATTCTTACTTGCCAAATAACATGGATGATCTTGCAAGCAACATGCATGATCTTGCAAGCAACAACTACCTGACAACGCACACACACAATACAAACCTTTTCCAGGACAACCCATGCATTCCCAAAGTTCAGGAAAATCTTAATTAGCAGTTGTGTTTTCAACTCCCATTTCCTTTATATTGACAGTGCTGTGCTTCCAGATTACACAGATGGTGACAGAATAGGATCTTGACTATATAGAGATGGAGGCGTTAAAGCCCTTGGCAAGAACATCTCTTTGGAAGGCACAGGCATAGGTCTTAAAACTAGCCAGCCTGCCCTTAGTGACACCAATATGCCACAGCAGGTTCAAAGAAGAGTAGATCAGACACAGCATTTGCAGATATGTGGAGCTTCTTTGAGAATCCAACTGTAAGAGTAAAGCAAAGTGCACAACTGCAAAACCCATGAGCATCACTGGGGCTTTACAACCTGAGAATGTTAAATAACAGCACAAGCTGCTGTTTTCATTGAAAAATGAAAAGCAGCAGTAAGGAGTGGTAAGAGGCAAGCACATTTTTTAAATTTAATTTTGTTTAAACTGCTAGTTGTTGTAAATCTCAAAGAAGGCCCCGTTTCCTCTCTGCACTCTTTATGTAGTAGCAGCTCCTTAAACCACATAAAACAAGTAGGCCAAGTTCTCTCTGAGAATATTTCGTGGAGTTTAGACTTGTCTGAAGGAGTAACACAAGGATGAATAGAACTCACAGGCTACATAAAACAGGAGTTATATTCCAGTCTTGAGCCACTACATCACTCAACCAAAAAACCTCTATCTTGACCTGTTACATTGGATTTACCTGGAAGAGAAATCAAATAAAATTTAGCCTGAAGCTTTGAAAGCCCCCTGCCTAAACGTGAAGTCTCCTTTTATTCCGCAGGCTAGGAGATTTCGTCAAACTCTTTCACAAAGGTCACAAGAACAATAAACTTATGCCCTACAGCCAGAAAGCACCTAAGAGGCACCTCATGACTTGATACTTCAAGGACAACTGCAAGTGATAGGTCGTGGTCCAGAAAAACATCCGTGACACAGATTACTTCAGCAGAAACCCAAACATCTTATATATATGGCTTCAGCAATGTAAAGCAACACCAGTGCCTCAGCAGCCAGTATATCAACTTTATGTCACCATGTGATTTGAAGGGAAAACAGAACTCACTAATGCTTTGAGCAAACACAGGCATGACCATTATTACTGTGGCAGATGAAAAAGGGACAAAACCAGGGCAGAGAGGACACTCAGCACATCTGTGACTGAGAAGATACAAAACAATAGAAGATTCCTGTAAGAATGACAACAAAGATGAGGAGAAATGCTGTGATGTCACCAGGGAGGGCTACCAGAACAGCTGCAACAGAAACACAGAAAAGAGGGAACTACAAAGTTTGAGAACTATCATCTTGGAGATCACATAAAAGCTCCAAGGTGAGGCTATAGTGTTACTGCCCATGCACTAAAGACCCTTCTTCCAGAAGATCAGTAATCCTGGGCAAAGCTCGGTTCTGCCAGACAATACCTTCTTAGGCTATTCTGAAACAGGAGAATGATTTCCTTTGGCAACTCCTGATCACAGACCTCACCAGTTTCTGCACCAAGTGCCAGATTTATTTCTTAGACCTTGCCTTCTTTGACATAAAAGGTGACATACATCAACATGTATTTTTAAATGAAACAAAAAACATACCAAAGCAAACAGAAAACCCTCTCCTGTACATGCTTATCCCACTTGCAAGAAAACAACCAACCAGTGACCATCATGTTACATACTGCCACTGCTGGGAAACATTCAAGATACACATGCTGCAGTCACCGTGTCATGTAGAGAGCAGAACTAGATTTAAGCTAAATGACTCAGGTGCTGGTAATAATCTAGCTGTATTAGTATGAACTGCAGCATAACTAGTGTGCCCTACTGAAGAATGGTGATTGCAGCATAAGAATTTACACAGTACAAGAACTTAAAAAAAACCCCAGAAACACTGTCTTGGTATTTATGTAACAGCACAATACAGCTGCCCAGTCTTTTAAACATCTTTGGGTTGTTCCATAGGAGGAACAGCAAACATACATAAAAACACCCCAGTTTAAATTATAATGCTCCCAAAACTCTCTGTTGGAATTTACCATTTCCATTTTCAAGACTGCACTGGCAGGAAGGCAGAGCAGAGCAGCAGAACTTCTTGAGATGCACACAGAACAGAGCACTTTTGAAGCGAGTCTTTAATATTTTAAGAGAGAATTCTTTATTCACAGAATGTGCAAGAAGTCCTTCCGAACTACACGCAAAAATAAACCTCGAAATTCTAATGAAGATACAGAGGGGAAAAAAGAAAAAAGCAGCACAGCAGTGTTCCAAGAGAATACATAATTCACAAGTTTAAAATTCAAGCGCTCCCTTCCTATGCCTGGAGCTCTCTTAAAATATTAACAATCAAATCTCTTCGGTAAGTGTACGGCGTATACTTTATTCTGAACCAGTGCCTTGGGAAAAGGTTACCACTCGGGGCATACATTTTCATCCCCTGTTTGCCCATCAGACCACGAAGAATCCTGTTGCGGGACAAGATTTTATTGTAAAATTCAACCCCACCTCTGGCATAGTCTTTGGAAATGGTAGCTGCCTTTCTGTCAGCCTTGCAGTCTAGGTGATAGGTCATAGCATCGTAAGAAACGTAATAGCACATTAGTCCACCAGCAGCAGTTATGAGGTTACAGATGCTGCGAAGTATCACAGGGCCAGGAGATAAACCCAGAAGTAGCTTTATACCTCTCCCACAGAGAAATGTACCAGCTAAGCAAGTTGGAGCCACGGCTGCACTTGCTAAAGGACTGCCATTCTGCAAATACACAACTTCTCTGGCAATGGCAAACTTCTGAGCTTCAAGTGAAAATGTCAGAGCTTCTTTCAAAGCAACACCTTCGTTGCTCTCCCAGTCTACTTCCTTGCCATTGATCACAACAACATGGTTGACTATTCCTTTTTTATCCCCAGCTGTGCTATCAAAATTAGGCGGGATGCCCACCAAAGAGCCTGCAGGCAGCCAGGGGATTCCAGCACTCACAGGGTGGAAGCCAGAAGCTGCAAAGGCTCGATAGGAGTCAGTGGACTTCACATCAGTATCTTGAAGGACATCTTGAAAGACACCACAGAGCTTCTGTGAAAGCTCAGCTGGCTGCCCCTCTGACCAGCACTCGTGCAACAGTTTGAATGTCTGCTCAGGAAACACATGATAGGAAAGGTTAGCGCCAAAGAGTCCCATGCAAGAAACGGCCAACAAAGTGATCTTGCGCTTCTTTAACCACACAGATGCCGTCCGCAGGAACTGCACTGCCATAGTCAAATCCTAACCTGTTTATAACACAAAATCAGGAATTAAAGTGTGCATAAATGGGTCTCGCATCTCTGTAGCATTTTAAAAAACAAAGCAAAAAACATGAGAAGAAGCAGAGTACAATAACCAAAGAAACATTCTCTCTTCTACATTAACAAAACACAAAACACCTTTACAGAGAAAGTGATACTCATTAATTTTTGGGCCTCAGAACATAGGATGATTGATACGGAGAATTAACTTCTCCCTCTCTCCCTCCCTCCAGTAAATCAATGTACCGCAGTAAAGGCAATAATAAAGCCACCATACTTCCTCCTTCCCCCAGCAATCAATACACATTCTGTATTTACCTAACATACTTGCCTAGTCCTTGCCAGCACAATCCTACTGTTACACTCCACTACAGACACAGACTACAGATATTAAGGCCAGAAAGAGCCAATAATTAGATTAATCTATGCTAACCTCCTCTACAGTACAGCTCCAAAAATTTTAATCAGTAACCTCAATACTAAATTCGGTAACTTGAGCTTGACTACAACTTCCAAAATAGGACCCCATTTTGATTTGAAAATTCCACGAGACAGAATTTTCCTTCAGAGTTTGTTCTAATGGACAGTCAACCTCACTATTAAAAAAAAAGAACAGTATGTGTTTTTTCTATTTTTTTTCAGATTTCAACTTCCAGGCAGTGGTTCTGGCTTACTCAGCAAAAAGCTGTTTTCAGAAAGCAGCATGCTTTCAGTGGCTACTTTTAAAAATTTGTCTCTGAAATAATTTCTCTGACAAATAATACGTGCAATCCAGAGCAGAAACTGGAACAGAAATTGTTTCAGGGCAGACAACTATGTTGTGACTCTTTAAACAAGCAGATAAACTTAAAAACTTTCAAACCTGCCAACTCTTTCAGTTCAAGAGTCCTGCTTCCCTTGGGGAGTATCAGTTCCTTTTATGGCCCAAGCCATATGATGTGCCCTGTCCAGGAAAGCTCCAATCTCTTAAAAAATCCCATTGGCTACAGAATTCTCCCCTGAAATGATGCTACTACAAAGTAGCAGTGAAAACTGGATGCCCCTGTTTCCATTTGCATCTTGCAATGTCTCTTCTCTCAGGGCTTTAACACATGAGCTTCAGAGAATCTTGCTGCAGCTGTTGAAGACATTAGTATTTCCAGCTGTCCTTACAGGAAGCCGAGGTGGCAGAAGGAAACTGTGCTTTGATACAACAACCAAGGTCTTGGTGTAGAGTACCATCAAAGGTGGGTTTCAGCTATGCTGCTGGGCTTTGTACGGCAGCAGCTGAAACACAGACATATGCTCTCTTCTTCCACTCACGCTAAACAAGAACCTCCCCCAGAGGGGTAGAGTGGACAACTGGGGGCTGTAACATCATAAAACAGCACTGCATGACATGCCAGGATATACCAGTCATGATCAACAGCAAATGAGTATTAACCACAGGGAAACAAAAAGGGATTAAATTAAAGGCGGTGTTTTAATGATATGTCATTACTACTCCTTCCTATGAAGCTCTTTCAGAGTAAATTCACCAGGGGAAGAATAATCTTGTTTAATGTTTATACTGCACTGAACACATACCGAGTGCTTAATAAAAACAATGATGCATGTAAGTATACAATAATTTAATATGTTTCTTAGTGTAGTAAGTGGTGGTATTCTTACATTCTGCTGAAGACTGGAGGTGGTGATTTGTTTGACAAAATTATTTAAGAAAAACATGCTAAAGAGCCAAGAGCTTGGATGAAACCCAATTTCGGGAGAAAACCTCCTTGATAATAGAGCTAAAAACCAGAAAATGGTAATACCAAACCCAAACGACCTCTTTGGAGTTAACGATCTCTCAGCAAATCTGGTAGTCTAGATCCGATTGAAAAGGTCATGCCATTTACAGTGGGGGGCCAGCACTTCAAAAGGGATGACTGTATGAAGACTATCACTTGATCCACATGTGAAGCTGAGCCAAGGACTTCCCAAGCTTCTCCCACTCATGTTAGAGACAGCCCTCCTGTTTGGCCTGGCTAACAGATCCTTTTAAGATTAAGAACATAGCAAGGAGAAAATTTAGCACCTCAGCTTATGTCCACACCAGTGTGGGGAAGGACAGACCACGCTGAAAACCAGCCTACTCTCCTTTCTTGCATGACCAAATGGTGCTTGCTAAGCACACGGGATGCTGAATACTCCTCCCGGTCAGCAACTCGGGATGCCGGGAAGCACACCTGGACAGGCGGGCAGACAGCAGCCCACGGGCCATCGGGTGAACCACAGGAAAGCAGGGCAGGAAGCGCTGCGCTTATCTATACACTTCTCCAAAACAGCCGTAACGGCAGGATACACCTCAATGCATTAACACTAAATTTTTCCTGCGTCGATCATAAAAATTCTAACAGTTGCTAAGTATTAATTTTTTTTTTTTATTAAATTAACCTTTGTGCAGGCATGGTTTCAAACCTTTGTGGACAGACCCCTCGCATTATACGGCCTATGGTCCTGCCACACCCCTAATGCAAAAGTAAGCAGGAAATAATGCAAGAATAAGCAGTATTCATTTTCTTGTGATAGTCAATACTCACGAAAATAAAAGGAAAATTGCCCTTGATACCTTTCAGCACTCGTGTTTTCAAGTCTTCCCCGAGGGTCAGCACAGACTCTCAGCTCCTGCAGAAAATCCCGCTGCAGCCTTAACTGCATACGGCATCTTTGCTTTTATTCATAAACTTCGTGCAATTTACGTATAAGGAAGGCAACCGGAAGCTACAAGGCAATTTATATGGACTATATCCTGCAAACTTAATCGTTCAGTTAGTTCCCATAAAGCCAAGACAATGTTTATAAGGTGGTCTCTCCCAAATGCTGAAATACTATTAATCTCTGTGGTGCTACGGGCACTCATTCAAGCACATCCACTTAAGCCTGAGAATTTTAGCAGCTAAAGTTCAAAACGGAGGACATCTACGCAGGTTTTGTCCTATAACGGAGGACATCTACGCAGGTTTTGTCCTCATGTTTGAATAAATGTATTTTTTCTAATTGCACGTAGCCGAGGAAAGGCCAACTTATGACATTATCAGTCAGCAAATGGGGCGAGGGCTGGACCCGCCTCCAGGGCTCAGGATTTCAAGGCTCACTTGTCGAAAAATAAAAATTCAAA